GGAGGTCTCTACCGACGATGACACGTTGGTGGTGGTGGTGATAGTGGTGAAGGTGATATTGGTGATGGTGGTGGTGATGATGATGGTGGTGGTGGTGGCGGTGATGGTGGTGATGGTGGCGGTGATGATGATGGTGGTTTTGGCGGTGATGGTGATGGTGGTGGTGCTGGTGGTGGTTGTAGTGGTCCTGGTGGTGCTGGTGGTGGCGGTGCTGGTGGTGGTTGGTAGTGGTCCTGGTGGTGCTGGTGGTGGCGGTGCTGGTGGTGGTTGGTGGTAGTGCTGGCGGTGGTTGGTGGTGGTCCTGGTGGTGGTGGTGGTGCTGGTGGTGGTGGTTGGTGGTCTCCACGAGTCACCACATCGGTCACCAACCGCATCGCGCGCTTTCAGATGATCTTCTGCGGCCGTCGGGAACGCTCTTTCCTTCCGATACTAGGAAGCCACTGGAGCCGTGCACTTTGAAACTACCTAGATTGGAACGTAATTTATTTCGAACTGCTTGCTGAGTTTGTTGTCCTTCCCCGCACCTCGGATTAGTAAGGTTGGCTACGTACGGTGCAAAAGAAGGTCAACATACAGTACATACACTGAGCAAAGGGAAGACCTGAGAGTCAGATGGTTGGACAATGTTCTTGCAGATCTCGGGGTAATGTTGCCCGCCACTTGCTCGGGGTGGTTGTGGCCACATTCACCCCCTCACGGGGGTCCTGTGCTGTTATCTTCACAGGTGCTCACCAACAGAACTTGCCCCAATAGCCTGAACAGGCTACACGGCGTGGCTTTTTTTTGTATATATGTGCACGTGTGTGTGTATCCCGTGGGGAGCGGTAGCGTAGCGGTTTGCGCACCGCGCTATGAACCCGGCGACCCGGGTTCGAATCCCGCCCACGGCCAACACCAGTGACGATTATCTGAGCCGGTCCTGGGCCTCCCCTAGGTCGACTCAGCCTCAAATGAGTACCTGGTGCGGTGTGTAAACATCGACACTGGGGAGACAAAGGCGGTCGGGCGTGGTGCTGGCCACCCGCCTCCTCGTGTACCGTTCCGACCTTCATAGGTGCTCGTTAACAGCACTTGCCCCTACAGTCTGTTCAGGCTATACGGGGAATCTTATTCTTTGTATCCCGCGTGGGGAGCGGTAGCGGAGCGGAGCGGTTTGCGCGCCGCGCTATGAACCTGGCGAGCCAAATTCGATTCCCGCTCACGGCAAACACCAGTGACGATTATCTGAGCAGTTCCTGGGGCTCCCCTAGGTCGACTCAGTCTCAAATGAGTACCTGGTGCGGTGTGCAAACATCAAGTGGGAAGATCGCACCACCGATGCGAGTTGTCCTCCTCCAAGCTGACACCACCAGCATTGAAGCAATACTTCTAATCATTCGAGATTTGAAGTTTTCGTGACTGCAAGGATCCATAGTCTTTGGTTCTTTCGGTAAAGTCACGTAGGTGAAAATGAAAACAAAAATAACTCAATTAAATCACGACGTTTCGGAGGCAACTACAAGCTTCCGTCATCAGGTGGAACAACCACAGCAAAAGAAATAGAATTACAGTAATTGACTTTACCGAAATAACCAAAGAGTACACCTCTAAATTTTTATTTCAAGCTTTCGTGACTACAGGGATTCATATTCTTGGTTCTTTCGGTAAAGTCACAAAGAAGGGAAATAATAAAATAACAAAAAATATAAAACAAAAAATCTCAATCATCATCAGGTGTGAATTCTTTTTGTTTTATATTTATATTATTTTATTATTTCCCTTCTACGTAACTTTACCGAAAGAACCAAGAATATAGTACACTTCTAATCAACCAACTCCGATGGACCGGGCACTTGCATCCGCATGCCTGAGAACCGCCTTCCCCGCCAGATCCTTCTCTCCCAGCTCTCCGATAGTCAGCGGACAAGGAGGGGGGGGGCACAAAGGAAGCGGTTCAAGAACACCCTCAAGTCCCCCATGATGCGCCGATAAAACCAGCCTTCAAGACTGGGAGGAGGAGGAGCAGCAGTAGGCAGGCTGCCCGCCGACTCGGGCGGCGGCCGCTGCATCCTCCAGGCCACGGCCCCCCTTGTAGACTCGCAACGTGTCGATGCCCCCAACAGAGAGAAAGGAAACGAACCCTGCACTGCGGAGCCCGCTGCCATCTGGGATCAGCGCGTGGCGCCCTCAATAATAATAATAGTTCCATTTGTAACGCGCGCAAATTTGCAGACGTAGTGGCCGCAACTCAGAGGCGCGGAGCCAAGCTCAGAGTCGCTCGAAAGCATGATTGTAGAGGTGCGCTTTTAAGTCTCTCTTGAAGGAGGCGATTGAGGTGATGCTGCGAATGTGCAGAGGGATATCGTTCCAGACTGTTGGGGCTGCCACCGAGAAGCGGCGCATAGACACGATGACCATCCTGGATCTTGGTATCAAGAGGAGGTCGTGAGTCGCGCTGCGCAGGCATCTACCGTGTGCTGAGCTGCAAGTTGTCAATAATGAAGAGAGGTACGGCGGGCAGGCAGATGTGAAGGCATTGTGGCCAATGCCCAATGATCTGCGGATCCAGCATCGGACTCCTCAGCCAGCTCAAGAGCCACCACGAAGCCTGAGGGACCGTTCATCGTCTAACCCCGAGGGACTGCCGACGACGACGTGAACATCGCCGCCAAGGGAGACAAAGGCGGCCGGGCGTGGCGCTGGCCACCCACCCCGTCATGCGCCGTATTCGCCTTGCTAACGGCACTTGCCCCAACAGTCTATTAAGGCAATACGGGGCGGGGGGATCTTTGTCTTTGTGTTTCGCGTGACGTCGAGGGAGCGCTCTTCGTTTCAATTGGCGTGCTCGCGCAATGATCGGGCACGACTGGCGTGTCCACTTGCTATTTGAACGGAAGAGCTGATTGGAAAACGGGTGACGGGTCTCGTGTTTGTCTGGAGTGTTGCCAATCCTTGCCACACGGAGAGTTACGGCGTTAAGGGGGTTTGTAAGGAGGAGGAAGAACAAACGGAGGAGGTGGAAGAGGTTGAGGTGGGGGTAGAGTAGCAGGACGCTCGCGACGAGAACGTCGAGGAGGAAGGAGTGATATTTAAGGACTCGAGGAAGAGGAATCAAGATACGGGATGTTTGGAGGAGGAGTGAAGGTTGAGATGTAGGAGGAGCTCGGCCGAGGTGAAGGAGGAGGTGGAGCAGGTGGAGGAGGTGAAAGTGTAGCAGGTGAAGGAGGATGTGAAGGAGGAGGTGAAGGAGGAGGAGGATGTGAAGGAGGATGTGAAGGATGTGAAGGAGGAGGAGGTGGAGGTGAAGGAGGAGGATGTGAAGGAGGAGGTGAAGGATGTGAAGGATGTGAAGGATGTGAAGGAGGGGGTGAAGGATGTGAAGCAGGATGTGAAGGATGTGAAGGATGTGAAGGAGGAGGATGTGAAGGATGTGAAGGATGTGAAGGAGGATGTGAAGGATGTGAAGCAGGATGTGAAGGAGGAGGACGTGAAGGATGTGAAGCAGGATGTGAAGGAGGAGGAGGAGGTGGAGGTGTGTGCTTGAGTCGTGGTTGGGGCACGGCAAGAACGCGGCCGCTCCCTGGCTCCGCCCGCCCGCCCGGCCGGTCGAGCCGCGTGCCTCCTCCCTCGCCTCGTGCCACGGTCGCTAACGCCAGGTGCGCTCAAGCGACCCAACAGTCCGGGTCAACACGAACTTTCAAGCTCCATTTCCCATGTACCACACGCGCAATGTGCCGTGCGTGTTAAGCCTGAGTTGTCGTCTTTGGGCGATAGCACGACTTGTTGCCGAACTTGAGAGCATCTATTTGTTGATCGGTTTATTTTTTATTTTTAAAGGAGTAAAATACATGAATAAATGTAATTCTTTACACAAACAGGCGGCGAATGTTGAGTGATTTGTGATGAATGCGTGGCCAATGTGGGCGTGGTTGTCTGCGTGTGTGTATGTGAGAGTGAGTGGGAACGTGTGTGTGTGTGTGTGGGTACGTGTGTGTGTGGGTACGTGTGTGTGTACGTGTGTGTGTACGCGTGTGTGTGTGGGTACGTGTGTGTGTGTGTGGGTACGTGTGTGTGGGTACGTGTGTGTATGTGAGAGTGAGTGGGAACGTGTGTGTGTGGGTACGTGTGTGTGTGTGTACGTGTGTGTGTGTGGGTACGTGTGTGTGTGTACGCGTGTGTGTGTGGGTACGTGTGTGTGTGGGGAGCGGTAGTGTAGCAGTTAGCGCGCTGCGCTATGAACCTGGCGACCCGGGTTCGATTCCCGCTCACGGCCAACACCAGTGACGATTATCTGAACCGGTCCTGGGCCTCCCCTAGGTCGACTCAGCCTTAAATGAGTACCTGGTGCGGTGTGTAAACATCGCCACTGGGGAGACAAAGGCGGTCGGGCGTAGTGCTGGCCACCCACCCCCTCGTGTACCGTTCAGCCTTCATAGGTGCTCGCTAACAGCACTTGCCCCTACAGTCTATTAAGCTATACGGGGGATATTTGTGTGTGTGTACGCGTGTGTCTGTGGGTACGCGTGTGTGTGTGGGTACGTGTGTGTGGGTACGTGTTTGTGTGAGTACGTGTGTGTGTGTGTGGGTACGTGTGAGGGGCGGTGGCGCTGCGGTTAGCGCGCTGCACGACCAACCCGGCCACCCGAGTTCGATTCCCGCTCACGGACAACACCAGTGACGATTATCTGAACCGGCCCTGGGCCTCCCCTACGTCGACTCAGCCTCAAATGAGTACCTTGGCCGGTGTGTAAACCTCGCCGCTAGGGAGGCAAAGGCGGCCGGCCGTGGTGCTGGTCACCCACCCCTTCGTGTGTCGTTACCGGCCTTCGCAATGCGTCAGCCACGACACCACAGTTCAAGCCCCAGACATCGTCCCCTCTCACTCCACCGTCACCCGTCCTGCTCCCACCCCTCCTCTCTCCCCGTCTGGTGGGGGGGGGGGGTGTCCTGAGCTCCCCTCCCTCCCCTCTCTCTCTCTCTCTAGAGGGTGGAGTTGGAATGAGGAGTCGCACCCCGTTGCCTTCCTTGGCAGTGCCTCCACGCCCTCCACCGTGCAGGTACAGCGCACGCGCACCGAGTGAGGCCCGTGAACTCGGCGTTCCCAGGCCGGTGGACCGATAGATCCCAGGCCGGTGAATTTGGCGTTCCCAGGCCGGTGGACCGGTAGATCCCAGGCCGGTGAATTCGGCGTTCCCAGGCCGGTGGACCGATAGATCCCAGGCCCGTGAATTCGGCGTTCCCAGGCCCGTGGACCGGTAGATCCCAGGCCGGTGAATTCGGCGTTCCCAGGCCGGTGGACCGATAGATCCCAGGCCCGGTGCTTGCCCCAACCCCCCCCCCCCCTCCTTCTAAATCAAACGCCGCCGTTGGCGGGGGCCCCTCTCTCGATGGCTGACCGCGAGGAGCTCGGTCGACAGTACGCGGAGGGACGGCGCCACCGCCTCTCGTCCGTGTGCCCCAGCCCGATTGGCTCGGGGCAATTCCCGGGCATCGGTTTCCCCCCCGGGGTAGCTGCCCCCCGTAAGGGCCGCTCGCTTCGCCGCCTGTGCTGCTGCTGCCTGCCCGCGCGGCGTGCCCCGGGAGGCGAGGGCGACTACACGGCACCGCTCAGCTCCGGGAAGAATCAGCACGCCGCCGCCGCGGAGGAGGAGGCCGAGGAGGAGACCGAGCTGCGTGAGTGTCGAGGGATGCTCGTCGAGACGAGTCGTTCACACGCACGCTCGCTCATGCGTTCGCTCGTGCGCTCGCTAGCTCACGCGTTCTGTGCAGTGCACGGCTTCGTCATAATTCACCCAATGTCTTCATTCGCGAAGTCAAGACAGTCGCTTAGCGTCAGACAATCAAGTGCTTCGTCGTTCGTTCAGTAAATCTTATAGTTAGCAAATAAGTCGGTCGATCGCGTAGTTACTGATTCATTCACTCAGCGGCGTAGTCCTTCATTCCATCACATGGTTACTCAGTCATTCAGGCTTTCACTTTGTCACTCATTCAGTCAGTACGTCGCGTAATTAATCGGTTAGTTACTTAATCAATCGTGCAGTCATCCCGTCACTTGGTCATTCCGTCACTTGGTCATTCATTCAGACAGTCTATCACATTCAGCGAATGACTCATTTTGTCATTGCATCGCCCACTCTATTGCATACTGCTCTCGCTCGAACAGGGACTTACTCATTCACGCACTCCATCATTAGGTCAATAAATACATCACCCCATTCAAGTCTCACACACCCACTCACTCTGATTTCATCACTTCTTCATTCATTTATTCACTCACTCAATAGATCTATGCATCTCTCACTCCCCCTCATTAATTTATTGCATCGCTCACCCACCCATTCCATAATTTAATTACTCATTTATTCCATCATTTCATCGCTCACCGATGTAATCACTCACCAACTCACATTTTCGTTGCAAAACTGACTCACTCAATACATTATTTATTTACCCCATCGCTAATTCAGTCACTGGATTACTGTATAACGCACTCATTGCGTCATTCACTCGCTGACATGCTCCATAATTTCTATCACTCAAACACTCACTCGCCCATTCATCACCCTCGTTGTCCTTCCCCCGCACTTCCGATCAAACACGGTTGGCTACGCACGGCGCGAAAGAAGTTCAACATACATACATCACTCACTCACTGCATCACTCCGTCCTTCACTAATTCGATCACTGCATCACCCGCTCACTCACTCGATCCGGCCATCCATCTACATAGACAATCCATCACTCACTGCGCCATCCACCTCAGCGCCACGACATCTCGTATCCCCATCCACGCCTCTCCCTATCCCTTCCTTCACCAGTGAATCCCCCACCCGTCCCAGCCCGCATCCCTTCACGAGCACCTGACAGCTTCACTGGCGCTGCGCCACCAACGGAGACGAAAGACCGGGTTCTACAAACACTTTGCCCAAGGGGCTTGTGCTGTTTTCTCTCTCTCTCTCGCTGTCAAGCATATCGTAAACGCGCTGTCAGTTACAAGCCACGACACGAAGCAGTTTGCAATACTGCAAATACATCAATAAAAACCCTCGCAGCTCAGCAGTGCACCAGCTTGTGTGCATGTGTATTCGGGGAGCGGTGTGGGTGAGCGGTGGTGCAGCGGTTAGCGCGCTGCGCTACGAACCCGGCTACCAGAGTTCGATTCCGAACACAAGTGACGATTATCTGAACCGCTCAGGGGCTTCTTGGAGGTCGACTCAGACTCGAATGAATACCTGGTGTGATGTGTAAACATCGCCACGAGGGAGACAAAATGCGGCCTGGTCGTGGTGCTGGCCACCCACCCCCTTGCGTGCCGTGCTGGCTGTCATAGGTGCTGGTGGACTAAACTTGTCCCAACAGTCTGTTAAAGGCGATACGGGGGGGGGGGGTCTTTGTATTTGTGTGTGTGTCAGAGAACAGGCAGTAGATGGTCACCTTTATAGCCGCGTGTCCCCCGAAACTCGAGGGGCAAACTGCTCCGTTGTTAGCCTCTGATCTCCTGCATACCTTGCCAGGTTTTGCGTGTGAGTCAAAGTTGTCATTCGTCGATGTAAGTACATTTTGAGGGCATACGGCTAGGGCAGGGGTCGGTGGCTCTTGAGGCGCGTTGCGGCTCTTTAAAGACTGCTTCGTGACGCGTCATTCACGTGCTGAGCGGCTCTTGAAATGGTTTGTTATCGAATTCAAAAGTAACGGCCCTTCTTGTTATTCTGGTTGTCGACTCCTGGGTTAGAGGATGTAATAAACACAATGTATCTCTGAGATGTCGTGAAACAGCAAACGACCACTCGTTTGCGATGTCGCATTCAGTGCTATAGAGGGATATGAAATGAACGTCAGTGGAATACACAATAAGTTCACTCTCCAATGAGAGTTTACCTTACTTGCAAAACAGTCGATCGATTTACATTATTTTTTAAACTGACTTCAGACCAGATTAAGAGATCATGGCTAGCCAATTACAATACAGTTAAGACACATTCAAATAATTTTGACATGCTGGAATTACCACTGTCCCATGAAGTGCTAAAATATACAACACAAATTAAAACAAACATGTAATTCACGTATGAACACTTAAATCTGGTTACCATCTTGCAGGCATATTCTAAAACCAACCCTTTTAAACATATCGATAGAAAAAGGTTCGTGTTTGACGTTACAATACTGGACGGTAAGTCATTCCTTCTCTCGTATTTAGAGAAAGACTTAACTCCCGCGTGTATTCTCATCGTGACCTCCCCCACGCATGTCCCCGTGTGACACCACATGCATCCCCTTGTGAACTCCCCACGTGTATCCTCACCGTGACCTCCCCCTACCTCCCCACGGGACCTCAGTGGGCGAGCGCCTGGTCGTGTTGCGCGTGGAGAGCGCGGGGAAGGAGGAGGCGGCGGTCGAGCACCGCACCGGCGGCTTCGCGCAGGCGCAGCTCGTGCTGCGGCGCGGGGCCCCGTTCCGCCTGCGCCTCAAGCTGAGCCGCGCCGTGCAGCGACACCGCGACTCCATCGTCCTCGAGTTCAGCACCGGTAGGTGGACAGCGACGGGGCGTGGCCAGCGGGGGTAAAGTTCAGCACCGGTTGCGTGGACAGCATCTGGGCGCGGTGCGTGGGGGTTTTAGAGTTCAGCACCGGTTGGTGGACAGCGACGGGGCGCTGTGGGTGGCGAGGAGGGGGTGGTGGAATTCAGAACTGGTGAGTGGACAGCGACGGAACGCGGCGGGTTGGAGTGGAGTGGGGGAGTGATGGTGGGAAGTTATGTTGGAATCATTATATGATAGAGGTAATGGGCGAAAGCTCTGATGAGGGTGGTAATGGTCTGTCGTATACCAAGGTGAAATTAGAAACGTTATCGATGTGTGGATATCGAGGTTATTAAGCCATTCAGTGGCCTCACTGGAGGCGAAACGGGCAGTGTGGGATCAGCTGATTCATGGTCTGGCTCCGGTGGCCGCAGCAGTCACATTTCGGACTCTTTATTCATTTTCCATTGATGAAGGATGTTTTGGATGGTGATAGAATAACGGTAATGATGCTGGGGAATGAGATGATAAGGCGTTCATGGGGGTGATAATGATGAAGTTGATAGGATGATGGGGGTGGTGATGCTGGTGGATCATGGAGGTGATTGTGGGAATGATCGAGGTGTTATGGGGTTAATTACCGCATGCAGTAAATTGAGTGAGGTTGGAATGATGATGGGGGTGAACATATTTTGAGGATGATAGGGATAATTGTGATAAAATGATTGGAATTATGTTAATGGTGATGATGTTGGTGACAAGGATGATGATTACGCTGTTGCTAATACTGATGAGTATTATGACGCTGCTGCTGACGACTAGTAAGTTGCTACTGATGCTGATGATGCGGAAGCTCCTACTGATGATAATCACGACGCTGCGGATTCAGACGACGCCGCTCACGAACAATAACGGCACTCACCACACGAATGCAGAAGATTCTACTGGCGGTGGTGGTGGTGGTGGGTAGCGACGATGCTGATTCTGCTGATGATGCTGCTGATGATGCTGATGATGATGATGCTGCTATGCTGATGATACTGATGATGCTGATGATACTGATGATGCTGATGCTGCTGATGATGCTCATGATGCTGATGATGCCGATGCTGCTGATGCTGATGATTATAACCCCCCTCTCTGTGGCCGTACCCCCCCTCCACTCACTCCTCATCCTACCACGCAGGTCTGTCCCCGCAGCTACGCAAGGGGACACTGATCCAGGTCCCCTTGCGCTGGGAGCTGCCGCCCGAGCAGCAGGACGACGCGGGAGCCCAGCGGGACGGAGGCGCGGGAGGCCAGGGCCAGGAGGGTGGGGGCCAGGGGGGTGGGGGGGAGGAGGGGGGCGGGTGGAGCGCCGTGGTGGAGCGCGAGGAGGAGCGCGCGCTGTACGTGCTCGTGCGCTCGTGCCCGCGCTCCGTGGTGGCGCGGTACGAGGTGGCAGCGTGCGCACACAGCGACACCACGGCGGCGGAGGAGAAGGTGCGCTCCAAGCGAGAGCCACTCAGCGTCTACATCCTCTTCAACCCGTGGTGCCGCGGTGAGGCAGTGGGGCGGTGACGTGGGGTGGGGAGGTGGGGCCGAGGAGGAGGGGGAATGTGTGTGGGGGTGTGTGTGTGGGGTGTGTGTGGGGGGGGTGTGTGGGGGGGGTGTGGGGGGGGGTGTGTGTGTGGGGGGGGTGTGTGGGGGGGGTGTGTGGGGGGTGTGTGTGTGGGGGGGTGTGTGGGGGGGTGTGTGTGTGGGGGGGTGTGTGTGGGGGTGTGTGTGTGGGGGGGGGTGTGTGTGGGGGTGGTGTGTGGGGGGGGTGTGTGTGGGGGGGGGTGTGTGGGGGTGTGTGTGTGGGGGGGTGTGTGGGGGGTGTGTGTGTGGGGGTGTGTGTGGGGGGGGTGTGTGTGGGGGTGTGTGTGGGGGTGTGTGTGGGGGTGTGTGTGTGGGGGGGTGTGTGTGTGGGGGGGTGTGTGGGGGGTGTGTGTGTGGGGGGGGGTGTGGGGGGGTGGGTGGGGGTCAACAACTATGAAAGAGCTATTGAGGAGGCACGGGGATGACGAGGGCGGGTGGAGGAGTGGGGACAGGTGAGGGGAGGGAGGGGGAATGTGCAGGAGTGAGGACGGGGAGGAGGAGGAGGAGGAGCAGGGTGAGGGGGAGTGAGGGCGGGAGGAGAAAGGAGGAATGTAGAGAATTGGGGAAGAGTGAAGGAAGATGAAATTGATGATGATGCTGATGACAGTTAAAGAGAAGGGGCAAGAAAGAGTGGGGCGTAGGAGGAGGGTTAAGGCAGAGCATGGAGGGTGGAACGATGGTGGAGATCCAATGCGGATGGCGGTGATGTCCGAGCGGATGACGATGCTGATGCTGCCACCGCCGCTGCGTAGAGGACACGGTGTACATGGAGAGCGAGGAGGAGAGGCAGGAGTACGTGCTGCGGGAGACGGGGCTCATCTACTACGGCAACAAGGAGCAGATCAGCGCGAGGCCCTGGGTCTTCGGACAGGTCTTTCTCGCCATCATCATCATCAGCCACCACCGCCACCATTGTCACCACAACACACCGTTATCATCATCAGTGTTATCCATCGAGCGCCACGGTGGTGAGATGTTAACTACTTCGCCTGATATACAGGAAACCGTGGGTTCGATCCCGATGCTGACGCCTGTATATTTGGAGTTTGTGTGTCCTCCCCGTGGTCGCGTCGATTGTTCTCCTTCGGGGTTTACCTCTACATTTAGAAACTTGCGATTCGAGTACGTGGCTGCTATATATATCAACAAAATAAGCCACTTCTTTTGGGCTATCATTTGTGGCGAGGTCGCTTCTGAAAAAATACCTCAGTGGGTCTAACCTCGTGAAATAAAAAATAGTTTTTGTTTTGTTTTATACTTCACTATCATCACCAACTTTTTCATCGTCCACCTCCCCCTCCTCCTCCCAACCGCCCCTCCCCCCACCTCGCCCCCTCTCCTCCTCTCCCTCCTTCATCCTCCTCCTCAGTTCGGCAAGGACATGCTTGACACGTGCCTGCACCTGCTGGACCGCGCCAACATGCCGCTGTACGGACGCAACGACCCCGTGAATGTGGCGCGCGTCGTGTGTGGCATCGTGAGTAGAGACACGAGACTCACGCCCCCCCTCCTCGCTTTCCCCCCAACGTCTGAACACCTCAATAAGCCCCCCCCCCCCCCCCCACAGTCTACGGGGACCCCCAACAGCCATTGTTGTCCTGAAACTACGCCCGCCGCCTTCGTAACAGGCGCTGACCGGCGCCGTCAAGTACACCCCCAGGGAGTCCAGCATCCAGCAGTGGATTGACAAAGCGGACCGGCACATGTGCGCGTCGATTGCACATCCTCCATCACGCCGCATATGCAGGATGCGCGCCGCGAGACCATACTTCACCGCGCTGGTCACAATTGGTGAAGGGGCGGAGCCGAGGACTGGGTCAAATAAATCCCACGGCGCTGATGTTTGTGAGCCCTGCCTGGGAATCGAACTCGAGAATGTTTTGGTTCGTAGTTCAGTGCTCGAGACCCTTCTCGGGTGCCAATACTGAGTCGGAGCTCCCTAATGCACACGCGTGGAGAAAGTAGCTGTCAGCAAGCACCTATTAAGTCCCGACGTGGCACGCGGTGCGGTTGTGTGGCCAGGAATGACGCCCCAGCCGCCTTTGTCTCCCCAACCATCGATGTATGTGCTGCCCTCTACACACTAGGTGCCCACTTCAGACCGAGTCGACCCAGAGGAGACTCGGATCGCGGCGCTCGTAGCGCGGTGCGCCACCATCTCTCACTTGGCTCACAAAGCGCGCGCTCGCTGCAGGTCAACTCGCAGGATGACAGCGGGGTGCTGGAGGGGAACTGGTCCGGGGACTACACGGAGGGCACCTCGCCGGCCGCGTGGACCGGCAGCGTCGAGATCCTGCAGGGCTACCACAAGGGAGCGCGCCCCGCGCCCGTGCGCTTCGGCCAGTGCTGGGTCTTCTCCGGGGTCACCACCACCGGTGTGGAAGCAGCCGTGCCTCGCCGCACCACGCCGCACCACCACGCCACACCACGCCACACCGCACCACACCGCACCTCGCCCCACCTGGCCTCGCCAAGCTCAACCACAACCGCGCCGCACTGCATCGCACCACGATCCACCGCGCCGTTAGGACATTAAACTCCACCCCGCGTCACGCGGCACCTAAACGACATCGCAACCTCCAGCGCCGTGACCCGCGCTGCACCGCTCCGCCCATGTCCACCACCGCCGCCCTGCCCGCCCTAAACCACTGTCCACCCCGCCTTGCCCCTGCCCACCCGTGTCCTGTCCACCCGTGCCCCGCCCGCCCGCCCGCCCGCGCCGTGCCCACAGTGATGCGCTGCCTGGGCATCCCGTGTCGCAGCGTCACCAACTTCTGCTCGGCGCACGACACGGACGTGAGCCTCACGACCGACGTCTACGTGGACGAGAAGATGAAGCCGATAGACGACCTCAACACGGACTCCATCTGGTACACGCATACCGACTGCCTGTCAGCAGATGTCTTTGCCTGTTGGATTGTATGTCTCGTCCCCGTGTCTGTCTTTCGAGTTGGTTGTCTGTCTGTGCGCTCGTTGTGTTGTCTGCGTATCGAATTGTCTCTTTATGTCTCCAACTGATCCTTGTAGATTTAGAATTAATAATAGTAATGCAATTTATAACGCGCGCAAACTTGCTGACGTAATGGCCACAACTCAGAGGCGCGGAGCCAAGCTCAGAGTCGCTCGAAAGCGTGGTTATAGAGGTGAGTTTTTAAGTGTCTCTTGAAAGAGGCGATTGAGGTGATGCTGCGAATGTGCAGAGGGGTAGCGTTCCAGACTGTTGGGGCTGCCACCGACGTGACCATCCTGGATCTTGGTATCAAGAGGAGGTCGTGAGTCGCGCTGCGCAGGCTTCTGCCGTGTGCTGAGCTGCAAGTTGTCAATAATGAAGAAAGGTAGGGCGGGCAGGCAGATGTGAAGGCATGGCGGCAGAGGCTGGCGATCTTGTAATTGACCCGACTGGCGATGAAGCAACTGTTACTGCTCCTGTAACAGCTGCTGAAAGTGTTGGTGCTGCTTTTACATTTGATGCTACTGCTGCTGATGGTGATGCTAATACTGTTGCTACTGCTGATACTGCAGCTGATGATGATGATGTTGGTGCTGCTACTGATGATGCTGATGATGCTGATGCGTCCTCGTTTTACAGGAACTTCCACGTGTGGAACGAGTGCTGGATGGCCCGGCCTGACCTCCCGATGGGATACGGGGGGTGGCAGGTGATCGACACGACCCCCCAGGAGACCAGTCTAGGTGAGCCCCCCACAACAACCAACAAAGCCCCCCTCAACCCCACCCCGTCCCACCCCCATCTCTCACCCCCTCCCACGTGGCCCTAAATCCTCCCGTGACCCCCACAGTTGCCCCCACGTGGGCAATCATAAGGGGGGCGTTTTGCCAGTTCTGAACATCCACGTGCACTGGACTGATACCTGCACCGGCCCTGGATACTTGCCACGTTGGCTGGCGTGGTGAAGTATGTACACCATACACGCACTGATTAACCAATCATTGCCACGAGTACGTTGGCACATTTTTAGTCTAACAGCTGCGAAGAGTGAACCACTCGCTCCATATACAGTACAGATTCATCCTGAACTACTCCCCTCACTCCCCGCACCCCCCTCCTTGCTCCCCTCGCTCCCCCCCCTCCTCTCCCTCCCCACACCCCCCTCCTCTCCCTCCCCTCCCCGCACCCCCCCTTCTTCCCCCTCCCCACACACCCCTCCCCTCCCTCCCCTCCCTGCACCCCCCTCCTCTCCCTCCCCCTCCTTCCCCTCCACTCACCCCCCCTCCTCTCCCTCCCCTCACCCCCTCCTCTCCCTCCCCGCACCCCCTCCTCCCTCCCCGCTCACCCCCGTCCTCTCCCTCCCCGCACCCCCCTCCTCCCCCTCCCCTCCCCGCACCCCCCTCCTCCCCCTCCCCTCCCCTCCCCGCACCCCCCTCCTCCCCCTCCCCTCCCCGCACCCCCCTCCTCCCCCTCCCCTCCCCTCCCCGCACCCCCCTCCTCCCCCTCCCCTCCCCGCACCCCCCTCCTCCCCCTCCCCTCCCCGCACCCCCCTCCCCGCATCCCCCCTCCTTCCCTCCCCTCACCCCCCTCCTCCCCCTCCCCGCGTGGTTCCCAGGGTTCTACCGGTGTGGCCCCGCGTCCGTGAACGCGGTGCGGGATGGGCAGGTGCAGCACAAGTATGACGCTCCCTTCGTGTTCGCAGAGGTAACGGGGCTCGTGCCCTTTAGTTTTATTTATATTCGCATTTCAAACACATTCCCGTGTTTTATTTCCCCAATGTGGTCCACGCTGCGGGTATCGGCAGAAAGCGGGGGGAGGGGTCGGGGAAGGGGAGATCAGTTCGGAAATCAGGCAGAGCAGTTCGACCAGGGCGTCATGTCGAACTCAACATGTTTTCCTGGTCGCTGGTAGGTAGACTGAAGCCACAGGGATACTAGATGTGGTATGCCGGGTGCGGAACATATTTAAGCGTTGACCAGTTGGCGAGACGTTCAATACCTCGTCGGATATGCAGTTGGTACTGGGTTCGATCCTGACCCTGACGCTTGTATATTTGCAGTGTGCATGTCCTCCCGGTGGTCGTGTGTATTTTTCTCCGGGCTCTCCAGGTTTTCCCCTCCACGTTTAGAATCAACATTCATGCGTTCAGAGTATTTGTTTGCTATACATTTCCACGTGATAAGTCACTTCCTTGAGCGATGATTTATGGCCAGGTCACTTCTGAAAAAATATATATATCGCTCGGTGGACCTTACCTGGTCAAATAAATAAAAACAATAGCTTCTTTTAATTTAGGTGGCACGTGACTAGCAGCCGTGGCGAGGCGTGTAACAGAAGGCTGCACGTGAGGTGCAAATGAATCCCCCAGCGGTTAGAGAACGATCCGCGGAAGCGGTTATCACAGATCTACATCCGAGAACCCTTCATCTGACCCCTGGTCCACGTAGTTTGTTCGGTGGCGGTGGAGGGGGGCGGTGAAGGGGGGGAGTGGGTATAGCACTTTCCTAACTACCCGCTCTTCCGCGTAGAGTAATCCTCGTCGAATGGCAGTAGTCGCGTTCTGGTGTGGTGTCGATTGACAGGTGAACAGCGACCGCGTGTACTGGATGAGGCAGCCTGGAGGGGAGTTTTCCGTGCTCAGCGTGGACAAGCAGGCGGTGGGGCACTGCATCAGCACCAAGGCCGTGGGCTCGGACCAGCGAGAAGACATCACCGGCCTCTACAAACACCCCGAGGGTGCGCCCCTCCCCCCCCCCCAAACTCATCACGGAACAACCTCGTCATCGTCAATCAATCGTCATCAATCACCATTGTCATTCAGGAATTCGTCATCATCATTATCATCATCCGGTCGTCATCATTATCATCTATTCATCACTCGATTATCACCACCGACGTGGAACCATCGCTCATAATTGTAATGTAAACGTCACTCAATCATCATTACCACCTTTAGCATTATTAAAGCAATCGTCATTATCAGTCATCACTCATCACACTCAATCGTCTTCATCCAATCATCACCATTAACCTCGTTGAGTCTATCATAACCATCATCAATATCGATCATCAATCATCAGTAAATAATTATCCAAACCTTCCTTTGCTCAATCACCGTCATTATCATTGCCCAGGCCCTATACGATGATCTTCAATCAAGATACGTATTTTTTACATCATTGGTCATGGTTAATCTACTGCTAGATGAAGACCTCCTGCACCTTCCACCATCTTCCGATACAACAACCCGCCCAGCATCTGCACGCGAGCCGATTTAAATCCTTTGGCAGCCTATAAAGTTTTGCTGGTTTTGATGCCCTTGGTTTTATCAGGTATTGCTCTTCCTTGGGAATAGGTAGGTAGCTACCTTACATTTAAACGAGATCCTACCAATACCTTGGAACATAGGACTACTGCCATCATTGCCAAGTCATCAAATCTCAAGGATTGAGCAATGCCTGCTCAAACAAAGGGTGTCATAACCATCAAGACGCCTCGCGCTGCCAAAGATTCACAATCCTGAATGTCCCATTAAGACCCATAGTTAGTACAATGGGCTCTGCCACGTACAAATTAGCACAATACGTAACAAAACAAATACAGCCCTACATCGGCAGGACATCTTCTTCATTAAAAACTCAGGACATCTTGTAAATATAATTAAAGATATTAAGCTTAACCCTATTGATATTCAGGTAAGTGTTGATGTGACTTCTCTGTTCACGAGGGTTCCGGTGAATGAGTCGATTAAATTACTCGCTACTCTGGTAACTAACACAGCTATTGCCAAATATATCCTACGACAAGCTGAGCACTATCGAAATAACACCTGTTGCTTGTGGAAATGTTATTTCTATAAACAAAAGAAAGGAGCAGCAAAGGGCTCTCATTTGTCTCCTGCGATGGCGAATTTGTACATGGAAGACTTTGAATCAAACGAAATAGCTTTAGGCGCACGAGAACCATCTGATTGGTTAAGATATGTGGGTGACACGTTGGTGGTTTGGCCACACGGCAAAGATACACTTAATACATTTCTAAATCATCTCAACTCGCTAAACCCGTCCATCCAGTTCACCATGCAAGTGGAGGTTGATATAAATCTGCCATTTCTGGATATTCTGCTCGGGCACGGCCGAAACGGTAAAATAACAACACGGCGTTTACCAAAAAAGAAAACTCACACTGACGCCGATCTCAATGCAGAGTAACACCATCACATCGCACCGAAATCCTCTCTCATCAAGACGCTCATACATCGGTCTAATAAAGTGTCAGACGGTGAGGAGTGAAATGAAACATTCTAGATTTTAAGCTTTCGTGACTGCAAGGATTCATACTCTTAGGTTTTTTCGGTAAAGTCACGTAGGTAAAAAGTTAAATTAAAATTAATAAAAGAAATAATAGAAATAAAATTAAATAATAAATCACGACGTTTCGGAGGCAACACAAGTCTCCGTCATCAGGTGGGACTGTCACAGCTAGATTTACTGTATCAAGTGAGGCAAAAAAATTCAAGATACAAGTTCATAAATACAAGTTAAGAGGGGAGGAGGGGGGAGGAGCTTATCTGAGTGTGGTAGCCAAGGGATGGAACGTATTGGGGGGGGGGCAGGGCTAAAAGAGAACAACAGGTCACATGCTAAAGGTGCACATGATGCTAGAAGAGAACGACAATGCACATGTTGTTTTACCCAGTGTTGGTGGCCATCCAAATACAAAAAAGGAGAGTACTGTTAAACGCTGGGGATGTTAACACTCGGTAAAGTAGAATAGTACCTGTCAAATAAGATGGTCCAAAAATGTGTAGTTACATCTTTTTTGCATGGTTAATAACATCTTTACAATGATTACTCAGTTTGTACCCATCATCACGGTTGAAATTATGTCTGTGTTTGTATATCTGGATGGCTTCATGTACAAACCTTTGATGGTAGCCAGAGGGTTTGCAGAGCACCTTGGTGAGAGCCCACAGCGTTGTAACAATGATCAGCAAAGAACGCTGTGGGCTCTCATGACCAAGGTGCTCTGCAAACCCTCTGGCTACCTCTTCTTGGTTCTTTCGGTAAAGTCACGTAGAAGGGAAGTAATAAAATAATAAAAATAAAACATAATAAAATAATTCTCACGACGTTTCGGCCACAACGCAAGCAGCCATCCTCAGGTGAAGAATGAAACGCCACCAAGCTTGGAGCGTATATTTAAGCTGGGTTGGAGGGGGGTGGAAGAAGAGCGCCTTGACAAAATAATTTGTTTGTGTTACCTTAGAGTCGCGGAATCTCTTCAGAAAGGTGAGAGACTCAATTAGCTGAGCCTTCTTATCCCGGAGCTTGTTGAAGGATCTCAAAGTTACGTGGAAACCCTCCCCGTAGAGGCGGTTAAATTTCGATTTAAAGCTTTCGTGACTGCAGGGATTCATCTTCTTGGTTCTTTCGGTAAAGTCACGTAGAAGGGAAGTAATGAAATAATAAAAATAAAACATAATAAAATAATTCTCACGACGTTTCGGCCACAACGCAAGCAGCCGTCCTCACACCACCAAGCTTGGAGCGTATATTTAAGCTGGGTTGGAGGGGGGGGAGGTGGGAAGAAGAGCGCCTTGACAAAATAATTTGTTGGTATTACCTTAGAGTCACGGCTACCATCAAAGGTCTGTACACGAAGCCATCCAGATATACAAACACAGACATAATTTCAACTGTGATGATGGGTACAAACTGAGAAATCATTGGAAAGATGTTATTAACTATGCAAAAAAGATTTAACTACACATTTTTGGACCATCTTATTTGACAGGTACTATTCTACTTTAACGAGTGTTAACATCCCCAGCGTTTAACAGCACTCTCCTTTTTTGTATTTGGATGGCCACCAACACTGGGTAAAACAACATGTGCATTGTCGTTCTCCTCTAGCATCATGTGCACCTTTAGCATGTGACCTGTTGTTCTCTTTTAGCCCCGCCCCCCCCCAATACGTTCCATTCATTGCCTACCACACTCAGATAAGCTCCTCCCCCCCTCCTCCCCCCCCCCTTAACTTGTATTTATGAGGAACAAGTATCTTGAAATTTTTTGCCTCACTTGATACAGTAAATCTAGCTGTGACGGTCCCACCTGATGACGGAGACTTGTGTTGCCTCCGAAACGTCGTGATTTATTATTTTATTTATATTATTACTTTTATTACTTTTATTTTAATTTTTTACCTATGTGACTTTACAGAAAAAACCTAAGAGATGAAACATGTTAAAGAAGCGCTGCAATTGAACGGTTACAATTGTAATAACGCTCTGGAGACGGCTTGTGGAATCAGTCCTTTTATTTACTTTCCTCAGTTCACAAGCACTCCCCGTTGCTGGCAGGCAACGGGAACTGGGCAGACAGATCGCAAGAGACGCACCGCCACGTGGCACTCGGAGCCCCGCTCGCGCGTGACCCCTCTCTCTCTTCGTTCCTTGTCTGACCACGTGTCCCTCGGCTCTTCCCTTATTTAATGCCTGGGTCACGTGGTACGCTCCAGCCAATCCTTAATAGCCTGCGCTGAATGTTCCAGATTCCTCCATCAACTCCTGGGACCACGCCCCTGACTTGTCTTCCCATTGGCTGAAGCCAAGAGCAGCAGAACCAATCATCCTAGCTGACATCTCTCGATCACGCCAGGGCCATGCTCCCAGGCTCTCCCCCCATTGGCTGTAGAGCAGGACCGGCAGAGCCAATCACCACGTGAGCCGGACATAGGCTCTCATTACACAATGATCGGCAGGGCACTGAATGTCAACACCACATCAAACAGCATAAGCGTTGCAACAGGTCGGCAATTAAAACTATTAAACTACCGTACATTGCGAGGGGGTAACTGATAAACGAGCCAGATTTCTGGAAAAAACAAACTTCCGAGTGAGATTTGGCATGGTACACAAAGTCACGTAGGTAAAAATAAATAATAAATAAAAATAATAGAAATAATTATAGAAATAAAATAATAAATCACGACGTTTCGGGCGCAACACACGTCGTGATTTATTATATTATTTCTATTATTATTTCTTTATTATTATTTATTTTCATTATTTATTTTTACCTACGTGACTTTACTGAAAAAACCTAAGAGTATGAATCCTTGCAGTCACGAAAGCTTCAAATCTAGAATGGTACGCAAAATACAAAAATCTATATTTGGTACTAAAGATGGGTTAGCGAAGCAATCAACCGAAGGTGTGTACTGTATTCATTGCGCCTTTGACAAATGCCGTGTTGGTCAGACGGACGAATGATCAGTAGGAGACTAAAAGAACACCAAATAAATATTAAATACTCCCAAATACAACTGTCGGCAGTGGCAGAACACACGTGCCAACAAGGACATTCAATCGATTTAGACAATGTTGAAGTTCTGTGCAAAACTAGTTACGACTGGCCAAGACTAATTAGATAATCTATCGAAACTGAATACACATTTACTTTAACCGTTCCGACAGCTCCAGGCTTAGTGCTGCTTGTAAGCTAATTACCAAGTAATGCTACACTGTTTAACTGCATGCCTATATAGGTCAACATATGTCGATGATTATTAACTGTGAGCAGACGATGAGAGCTACTGCGATTGTTTGCAACCCAAAACAGCAGCATGTACATGTGTAGTGCTCGAACCGACACGACAGCTTCTTGCCTTTCCTCGTTACTTTATTCCACGTATTTCGATCAAGACTCCTCCATCCAACATCGCTCAACGTTCCTCCCGCTAACACCTATCCACCATTCTCCTCCGCGCTCTCGGCTCGCTCGCTGCGTTCCTCCGGCCTCACTCGCTCCCCTTCACTCCTCCGTCGACTCTCCTCTCCACTCTCTCCGCCACAGTTCGACTGCTCTTTATCAGATCCACCGTCCCACTCCGTCGTAGCTACATCAGCTTCTCTTCCCACACTCCAGCCGCTTCCTACTCGCTTCGTCGTCTCACTGCTACTCTACGCTTCTCCACTGCTACCCTACGCTTCCCTACTGCTACCCTACGCTTCTCCACTGCTACCCTACGCTTCTCCACTGCTACCCTACGCTTCTCCACTGCTACCCTACGCTTCTCCACTGCTACCCTACGCTTCTCCACTGCTACCCTACGCTTCTCCACTGCTACCCTACGCTTCTCCATTGCTACCCTACGCTTCTCCACTGCTACCCTACGCTTCTCCACTGCTACCCTACACTTCTCCACTGCTACCCTACACTTCTCCACTGCTACCCTACACTTCTCCACTGCTACCCTACACTTCTCCACTGCTACCCTACACTTCTCCACTGCTACCCTACACTTCTCCACTGCTACTCTACACTTCTCCACTGCTACCCTACACTTCTCCATTGCTACCCTACACTGCTATTAGCTCTGCTGCTTCGACTCCTCCATCCTCTGTCTCCTCCCAGGCGCGAACTCCCATCTCCTCCAAAAACCCCTGTCTTTATCCCCGAGCCAATTAATCTCCAATTAATCAGGGGCATCCCCTGCGACGCCACTCGCCCCCCTGCCACTTGGCATGTTTTTCCAGACAATGCGGTGCCACTCCGCGACAATAACACCCTCTCGGCCAATCAGCGCCCTGCGTCCTTAATTACTCTCTGCCACCTGCTACCATCTTCAGACAGCGCGGGCCCCACATCCCGACAACAACAACGACCAACCAATCAGCGCCCCGTGTCCTTATTTGCTCCCACTGTACGCCGCTTGCGTTCACACCGACCTCCGCGCGTGACGCGTACTTTCAGGCACTACACATGCATAATGTGCATGCACAATGTGTTGATTACCATATGAATAACCCAACCGGTAATGGGTATCCATGGTGATGTATAAGCATGCATTAACCCCCTCCCCCTCTCTGGCCTTCGTGCCTGATTGTCTCACAAGTGACGACGGCACATTTATCTGTTCAAGTCGGGCTGCCGCCTGATGATGCTGGTTGTAATTACTGGCGAAACGTCGTACTTGAATTGCTATTGTTGTGGTGGATTTACTGTCCCAACACAACCGGTGTGCTGAATTAGTAACGAATTGGCGTCGTTTGCTTATGTGGCAAACCTTACTAATTGGCTGTGTCGGGTGGTGGTGGGTTTAACGACACATTTATGAATTTTGACTTAAAGCTTTCGTGACTGCAAGAATTCATGTTCTTGGGTCTTTCGGTAATGTCACGTAGATAGGTTGAAAGAAAATAGCCAAAAAAACTACGACGTTTCGATCACAACACAAGCGATCGTCGATTGCTTGAGTTGTGATCGTCTGACGATTGCTGTGACTTTGTAGTCCGAACAGGGCACGGGGTGACCACTAAGGTCTGAATTGGTCTGTAACAAAGCAGGGCACTGATCAGGGGTTGACAGCACCACTGCCAACAACAACAACAGCAGCGGCACTCATCAACCCATCCCCCCCCTACTCCGGCATGGCTCGTCCCGCCAGGCTCCAAGGAGGAGCGCGTTGCGGTGGAGACCGCGTGCTCGCAGGGCTCCAAGCCGAACGTCTACAAGGCCCCGGGCACCGCGCAGGACGTCCGCCTCCTGGTGAAGCCGCCCGCCGACGAGGTGGCGCTGGGCCGCGACTTCGTGGTGACGCTCCATCTGGCCAACCTCGACGCCGGCGAGGGGCGCACCGTGGCGCTGTTCTGCGCCGCGCACACCATGCACTACACGGGCGTGCTGCGTGGCCGCGTCAAGCAGCACTCCTGGGAGCTGCAGCTCGCGCCCGGGGAGGGTGAGCGAGCATGCGCACGCACGGGCCATCGATCGGGCACGCGCACGCACGGGCCATCGATCAGGCACGCGCACGCACGGGCCATCGATCGGGCACGCACACGCACGGGCCATCGATCGGGCACGCGCACGCACGGGCCATCGATCGGGCACCTCCGTGGGATGGCCCCTGTGATTTTCGAGTCAAGGGGAAGGCCGCACGGAGAGGGAACTGCGATCGTAACTCCCCGGCGCTCTCTGTGTTGCGCAGAGTGCACCCTGAGCCTGCCCGTGAGCGCGAGCGAGTACCTGGAGTCGCTGGTGGACCAGTGCGCGATGCTCTTCACGGTGACGGGGCGCGTGGGAGAGACCGGGCAGACGCTCGCCACGCAGAGGAGCTTCCGCGTCAACTTCCCCGCGCTCGACGTCACGGTCCGATCCACGCACACTCAGTGTCACACTCACTCAGTGGCACACTCAGTGTCACACTCACTCAGTGGCACTCTCACTCAGTGGCACACTCACTCACTGCCACACTCACTCACTACCACACTCACTCACTGCCACACTCACTCAGTGGCACACTCACTCAGTGGCACACTCACTCACTGCCACACTCACTCAGTGGCACACTCACTCAGTGGCACACTCACTCACTGCCACACTCACTCACTACCACACTCACTCACTGCCACACTCACTCAGTGGCACACTCAGTGCCACATTCACTCAGTGCCACACTCACTCACTGCCACGCTCACTCAGTGGCACACTCTGCCACACTCAGTGGCACGCTCACTCAGTGGCACACTCACTCAGTGACACACTTACACTGCCACACTCACTCAGTGCCACACTCACTCACTGCCACACTCACTCAATGTCACACTCACTCAGTGGCACACTTACTCTGCCACACTCACTCAGTGGCACACTCACTCAGTGTCACACTCTGCCACACTCGCTCAGTGGCCACACTCAGTGTCACACTCACTCAGTGGCACACTCACTCAGTGGCACACTCAGTGGCACACTCACTCACTGCCACACTCACTCACTGCCACACTCACTCAATGTCACACTCACTCAGTGTCACACTCACTCAGTGGCACACTTACTCTGCCACACTCACTCAGTGGCACACTCTCTCAGTGGCCACACTCAGTGGCACACTCAGTGGCCACACTCACTGCCACGCTCACGCAGTGGCACACACTGCCACATTCAGGGGCACACCTACACTGCTACACTCAGTGGTACACTCACTCAGTGAGACACTCAGTGGCACACTCAGTGGTACAAAACAAAGACAAATATCCCCCGTATAGCCTGAACTTGGTTCTTAAAATACCTGAATTGACCTTGGGGATGCCCAGGACCAGACCAGAAATTCAACTAAAGTTGGTCATGAGCAGGAATCGGACTTGGGTTGCTGGTTTCCTAGCACAGTGCACTAACACTCCACGTCATCAGCTAATCATTACGCACACTGGCACACTGACACACACTCAATGACACACACTCACTGACACACACACACTAACACACACTCAGTGTCACACACACTGACACACTAACACACACTCAGTGTCGCACGCACACTGGCACACTGACACACACTCAATGACACACTCGCTGGCGCACTCACACTGACACGCCAACGCACACTCAGGAGGGGGGCGGTAGTGTAACGGTTAGCGCTACGCTGCGCTACGAAGTCGGCAACCCGAGCTCAATTCCCGCTCGCGGCCAACACCAGTGGCGACTATCTGAAACGGTTCTGGGCTTCCCCTAGGTCAACTGAGTCTCAAACGAGTACCTGGTGCGGTGTGTAAACATCACCACTGGGGAGACAAAGGCGGCCGGGCGTGGTGTTGACCACCCACCCCCTCGTGTGCCGCATTGGCCTTCATAGGTGCTCGCTAAGAGCACTTGTCCCGACAGTCTGTTAAGGCTATACGGTGGGAACTTTGTCTTTGTCAGCGGCACACTCTCTTACACTCACTTACACTCATAACTGGTACACTCATACCGATGATGACCGCGATGATTGCGACGATGATGATGATGATGCTGACGGAGCGATCAATGTGCCGACGTCACCAGGTGGACGACCGGGACGCGGTGCGCGTTGGGAGCAAAGCGCTGGTGAAGGTCTCCTTCACGAACCCCCTGCCGCAGCCGCTGCGCGCCGTCACGCTGCGCCTCGAGGCCGCGGGGCTGCTGGAGCCCACGCTCATCCAGCACGGGTACCCACCATCACGACCGCCATCACCACCACCATCACCACCACCATCATCATTATCATCACCACTATCACTGCCACCATCACCACCACCATCATCACCGCCACCACGATCAGCATCACCACCATCATCATCACCACCATCATCATCATCACCACCACCATCATCATCATCACCACCGCCACCACCATCATCACCGCCACCACCATCATCATCACCACCACCATCACTACCGCCATCACCACCACCATCACCATCATCACCGCCACCACCATCATCACCATCACCACCATCACCTCAACCACCATCATCACCGCCACCACCATCATCACCACCATCACTACCGCCACCATCACCTCCATCACCGCCACCATCACCGCTATCATCACCACTATCACAACCACCATCATCATCATTACCATCACCACCATCATCACCACCACCATCACCAATATCACCTTCACCACTATCACCACCACCAACGTGTCATCGTCGTTAGAGACCTCCATCACTGTCACCATTATCATCACCACCTTCACCCAGCACTGACTTCCCAAAGGGTCTTCCGATACACCTTGTCAACGGTGTTGATCTTGATGAGATCTCCTCTCTGCCCCCCCCCCCGTTCCCCCCCCCCCCCGCTCGCCCCCCCAGAGATGTGCCCGGGGGGGGCTCCGTGTACCGCACCGTGGCGGTGTTGCCGCGGGTGGCGGGGGTCGTCACCATCCTCGCCACCCTCGACTCTCACCAACTCATCACGGTGCACGGGGAACTCGAGCTGCTGGTCAAGGCGTGACGCTCGTGCACACGCCCGCCTGCTCGAACAGACGCACGAGGAATGACGGACACGTGCTCGTGTTCCTGGCACGTCCGTGATAGTACGAGTATGCGTGCCCGCGTATGTGCACGCACACTCCTGTACACACACATGCCCGCATAAGTACACACATACACACGAGACTGAGTTCAACGTTTGCCTCGACAGCTTGTTGAGGCTATCTATGGGCGGGGGAGGGATCCTTTGATTGAATGCAAAACACGAATGGCACGCTCACTCGTTGTGCGCGCGCTCGCTCGTTGTGCGCGCGCTCACTCGTGCGCGCGCGCTCACTCGTTGTGCGCGCGCTCACTCGTTGTGCGCGCGCTCACTCGTGCGCGCGCTCTTACGCGTATGCGAGCTCGTGGAGGACACGTGCCCGTAAGCGCGCCCGTCGTGTGAGTAGGACACGCGCTTGCACGTGCACAGCACTCGAATACACACTGAGGCTAATATGTACACCACGTGCTTGACAACACGCACGTGGTCGGAGAAGCAAGCCTACTCGTGTGTGCCTACACTGTGTGGCTTAAAAAGAAAACAACCGGCGACGTTTCGGGCATTCGACCTTCTTCTAAGCACACTATATATGTGTGCGTACTCGTACACACACACACACTGCACACACACACAACTGCACACACACACGTCGACAGACGCACGCACACCTATCGTATACGCACACGTCCTCGGATTCACACGGATACACAATCAGGCATGTAGACACGCCCGCTCATAAGTGGAAGTATAGGTGTAGGGTAAACGAGGCATTGAACCGAGTTCTCGATACGAGGGGGAAAATAATTCGGTGCCAACGCGCGATGAAGGAAGCGGAGACGGGGAGGCGATTGGGAAACGTTAACACCGAGAGACGGAGAGAGGAGCAATGTGCATTAGAGATCGACTTATTCAGTGGGCTTGGGGAGGAGGCATCGTGTCGAGATGGGACGATGGCAAGTGGAGGAGACTGGTCACGGAATGGCAGCCAAAGTAGGACGACCACCTCAGAGATGGAGCCACGAGATCGGTTCGCGTGAATGAGCGGCGAGACGGATTGTGGGTGACGTCGCGGGACTTTAGGGGCTTGCGTCGGTGTTGGTGAGGCGTTCATCCAGCAGTGGATAGAGCAGGGGTCGGCAACCGAAATAACAAGAAGAGATGTTTTTTTCTTCTTCGAATTCGCTAAAAACAACTCGATATTTCAAAAGCCGCAATGCACTGCGTGGTGAATACGTGATGTTGGTGGTGTCTCCTGAATCGACAACTGTCACGAATGATCGTCCTTAAAGAGCCGCAAAGCTGCCGGCCCCTGGGATAGACCGTGGATGATGATGCGCTCTCGTATCCAAAGACAAAGATCCCCGTATAGCCTCAACAGACTGTTGGGGCAAGTGCTGTTAGTGAGCACCTATGAAAGCCGGGACGGCACACGAGGGGGTGGGATGGTCAGCACCACGCCCAGCCGCCTTCGTCTCCCAAATGACGATGTTTACACACCGCACCAAGTACTCATTTGAGGCTGAGTCGACCTAGGGGAGGCCCAGGACCTATTCAGATCATCGTCACTGATGTTGGCCGTGAGCGGTAATCGAACTCGGGTCTCGAGTTCATAACGCAGCGCACTAACCACTACAACACCGCTCTCCGCCAATGACATACACCCACCGTACACATGCAAATATATGCACACACGTTCCTATCCAAACACACACACGTGTATATTCGATTCGTACGGTTGGCTACTTACGGGTGCGAAAGAAGTTCATGATAGATACACGTGCGTCCCGATACACGTTGAGTGGTAGCCGCACGCTGATACCCTCTGCCCGTCCCGCGTCCACAGGTTTATATGGGTTTCATATATTTCGTCATGTATTTTCATACCTTAGAATGTTTGCAATAATATTCTCTTATTAAAACTGCCACGGCATAACCGAACGTGTGTTTGTATTTACTTTTGTGTGTGTGTGGCGATTGGTTCTGTAGCGGTTAGTGCCCTGCGCTACGAAGCCGGCGACCCGAGTTCGATAAACTCTCACGGCCAACACCGGTGACGATTATCTGAATCGGTCCTGGGCCTACCCTAGGTCGACTCAGCCTCAAATGAGTATTCGGTGTGGTGTTTAAAACATCGCCACTCGGGAGACAAATGTGGCCGTGCGTGGTTTTGGCCACGTGTACCGTGCCGGCCTTCATAGATGCTCAATTACAGCACTTGCCCCAACAATCTGTCATAGGCTACAGAGGGGATCTTTATCTTTGTAGTGGAGAGCGGTGGCGCAGTGGTTAGCGCACTCAACTCTAAATCAGTACCTGATTGCGGTGTGTAAACACCATCACTGGGGAGACAAAGGCGGCCGGCCTTGGTGTTGGCCATATCACGCGCTGCACGTGGGGGGCGCGTGAGACCGCGCCTAACGCACTAATCTGTATCGCGGTCTTCACTATTGTTCAAGCTGTCGTCACGCCAGGGTGAGTCAGAGTCACATCGCGCAACGAAAACCGTGCGACCGCCGGCCCAATCCACTCACGCCGCCCGCGCGGGCACACGGGCCAGCAGCGAGATCCCAGCGCTGTCAGGGATAATCGTTCACATTTATCCCAATTAGCCCCGACGTCTCATCACGGCCAAACGGAACACCGATTACAGAAGCATTCCAACACAAACGCGAGCTGGCTCTTATCTTGTGGCTACACGCCTCGGCTGGGATAGAATTCACTGTCGACGAATTTCCCCGAAGTCTCCTCAATCAGCCGCCACAACAGTCGGGGTCATCGGAAAGGGGGGAGGTGGTCCCGGCCATCTTATCAATAGATAGAAATTGGGTGCAATGAGTCTCTCTCTTCCTTCCCTCTGCCTTCTGGGAGTACCGCCCATCCCCCGCGCAATGGGCAGTAACCCCACCTCGAACCCTTACCCGCCCCGCAGTCAAAGGCTAAGTGTTAATTAGAGGTCCTCGTTGCAATTACCTGGGTGCGCCTCCCCCCCACCCCCATCCCAACGCCACTCACCCAATCCCCGCTAAGCGCTGCTGTAATCAGCAGTGATTGCCGCCCTCGCCGCGGGCGGGGGTCGTGGCCTTTTAAAGGGAAACGCGGGAGGGAAGCTGCAGCGGTATCTCTCTCTCTGCGGCCCAGCGCAGCGATGCCTCGCGATACAGGTGAGGGTCTGAGGGTCAAGGTGAGGGTCTGAGGGTCAAGGTGAAGGTATGAGGGTCAAGGTGAGAGTCTGAGGGTCAAGGTGAGGGTCTGAGGGTCAAGGTGAGAGTCTGAGAGTCAAGGTGAGAGTCTGAGGGTCAAGGTGAGAGTCTGAGGATCAAGGTGAGGGTCTGAGGGACAAGGTGAGAGTCTGTGGGTTAAGTTGGGTATGTGAGATCAAGTGAGGGTCTGGGGTCAAGGTGAGAGTCTGAGGGTCAAGGTGAGGGTCTGAGGGTCAAGGTGAGAGTCTGTGGGTCAAGGTGAGGGTCTGAGGGTCAAGGTGATAGTCTGTGGGTCAAGGTGAGGGTCTGAGGGTCAAGGTGAGAGTCTGTAGGTCAAGGTGAGGGTCTGAGGGTCAAGGTGAGAGTCTGTGGGTCCAGGTGAGGTTCTGGGGTAAAGGTCGAGTGTTGTAGCTTGTGACCACCCTGCGTGTATCCTCACCGTGACCTCCCCCCACCTCCCCACGGGACCTCAGTGGGCGAGCGCCTGGTCGTGTTGCGCGTGGAGAGCGCGGGGAATGAGGAGGCGGCGCGCGAGCACCGCACCGGCGGCTTCGCGCAGGCGCAGCTCGTGCTGCGGCGCGGGGCCCCGTTCCGCCTGCGCCTCAAGCTGAGCCGCGCCGTGCAGCGACACCGCGACTCCATCGTCCTCGAGTTCAGCACCGGTAGGTGGACAGCGACGGGGCGTGGCCAGTGGAGGTATGGTCGTTTTTACTAATTTTCAGAGGGGGGCCACTTTCGCCCATAAGAAATCAGTATGATGGCTGCCACACATTTGGAACCAATGGGTTTGAGAGCACGATGGGGTGTTTTCACATGAGTGTATTGCCCGTGGCCGCACGACGTCAGGGGTCGCACTAAAGGTCACCAGGGGCCACCAGTGGCCTGCGGGCCTTGCAATGAAGAACGCTGAGATAGGAGGTGGAGTTCAGCACCAGTCAATGGACAACAACAGGGCGCGGCGGGCGGGGAGAAGGGCAGAGCCCTGGGTGGGGAGTGGAGTGACGGTGCGAGGTTACGATGGCGTCGTGATGCAGGGGGGATTCTAGAGGCGAGGAGAGGATGTGGGGGTGTTAATGATGGAGACATGACGCGTATGATAGGATAATGATGTTGTCGGTTGCGTGGGTGATTATGGGGAAGATGATGCTGATGATGTTGGAGGTGACGGGAGGATGTGATGATGGTTTTGGGTATGATGGATGAATAATGCTCATCTGTGAGGCTGAGTCGACCTAGGAGAGGCCCAGGACCCGGTTACATATTCTGATGTCGACAGTGAGCGGAAGTAGTAGTGTAGTGCGCGAACCACTATGCCACCGCTACCCCCCCCCCCCCCCCCCCCCATTTACACACCCACACGCACGCACGCAGAGAGTGCAGGACCTCCCGTCTCCGTGCCCGTGGGACCGCGGCTTAGCGAGGAGACGTGGAGCGCGACCCTGGGCGAGGAGACCTCGGGAGGGGGCCAAGGGGTCGAGATCGAGGTCACGGTGCAGTCTCCTCCGCACTGCCCCGTCGGCCAGTACCGGCTCGCGGTGGCGGTGAGCCCCGCCGGGGGCTTGCCGGTACGCACGGCGCCCGGGGTCTGTCCCGACCTCATCATCCTCTTCAACCCGTGGTGCAGAGGTGGGAGCTCCTGCGTCTTGACCAAGAATAGATTAGAATCGATACTCATAAGTACAATATTTAACAGCGTGAGACATCAGTGGTCAATAGTCAATGGATGGGGGAGGGCCAATTGCCGAGACAGGTACCTGGGTGGTCTTCACGAGTCCGGAGAGCAAAGGGAAGAGACGATTTCAGTGCAGGTGGTGGAAGCCTGCAAGGGGAGATCTGTGTGTCTCTGTATGGGACTGTCTGTGTGTGTCTATTATTCTCTGTGTGCGTCTTTGGATCTCTGCGTCAGTCTATGAGTGTATGTGTCTATGGGTCTGTGTGTTAGTCCGCGTGTTCCCGTGTGGGTCCGTGAGTGTCTGTGTGAGCGTGGTGTAGGAGCGGTGGTGTAGCAGTTAGCGCGCTGCGCTATGAACCTGGCGAACCGAGTTAGATTCCCGCTCACGGCCAACACCAGTGACGATTATTTGAACCGGTCCTGGGCCTCCCCTAGGTCGACTCAGCCTCAAATGAGTACCGGGTGTGGTGTGTAGCAAACATCGCCACTAGGGAGACAAAGGCGGTCGGGCGTGGTGCTGGCCACCCAACCCCCTCGTGTACCGTTCTGGCCTTCATAGGTGCTCGCTAACAGCACTTGCCCCTACAGTCTGTTAAGGCTACATGGGGGATCTTTGTCCTTGTTTGTATCTGTATGGGACTGCAAATCTGTCTGTGTGTGTCTGTGTGGGTCTGTGTGTGTCTGTGTGGGTCTATGCGTGAGTCTATGGGTCTTTGTATGAGCAGATGGTAGGAGACTGTCATTGAATATCGTGGAGGTCGCTGCGTGGCTCTGCTGTGCAGTGGCTGCGGGAACCGGTGGAGGGTGGAACACGTTGGCATTGAACTTTCTGTGGTGGCATCAACGGACGTTGTCCGTGATGACATCTTGACAATCAATCAAATCAATATTCTTCTTTCGCACGGCTGACGGAGATGCAGAGCAACAACGACAAATCCACACTCAGGCAGTTCAAGCCCGGATAGCTGCGTCAGGGGGAGTGGACCATCGTCCCAGGGGCCTGCCTGGCGCGTCTAATTGGCCCTGAAGCAGGCCCGCTGGCCTGGCTCGTGTTGTCATTGTCCTGTCACGTGATTCCTCACGTGACAAGAGTGGACCGCGTGACGGCTGCCATCAATCAAATCATTCGGCATGCTCGATCATCAACAGCCGATCAATAACGTTGCAGCTCTTGTCGATATTACAAAGCGGACCGAGTGACCGGACGTTTGGCGTGCTCGGGACCCCCCCCCCCCCCCCCCCCCCAGGAGACGCCGTCTTCATGGAGCCCGAGGAACACAGAACGGAGTTTGTTCTGAACGAGACGGGTCGACTGTTCTACGGAACCGCGCAGCAGATCGGGACCCGCGCGTGGAACTATGGGCAGGTACGTGTAACCAGCGTGGCACGCGTGTGTGCAGTCTGTATATACTGTCCCATGTTACCTGTGTGGACAGTCATGGGCACACCTTGACGCGTGCACTCAATGGCAGCCGTGACATTTCCAAAGTGAGCCCTGACACACACTCCGACTCGAACGCTAACTTCAGCCATAACTGATTAAGTGGTACCCCTACTACTTACTCTAACACTTGCTCTAACACTTGCTCTAATACACACCCTAACCCGATCATTAACACAGTTTACAGCCTTAACTCTTCTAGCCCCGATCACACCCCTACTACAAACACACCCCATGTCTAACACACAACTTACTACTTACACTAACACACAACTTACTACTTACACTAACACACAACTTACTACTTACTCTAACACACCCCTACCCCTAACCCAACCCGCGGCCCGCAGTTTGCGAGCGGGGTGCTGGACGCGAGCCTGCACCTGCTGACCTCCATGGCCTGGGGGCAGCGTGGAGACGCCGTGGACGTGGTGCGAACCGTGTCCGCGCTGGTAAGAAGATCGACTCAACACAAAGAAACAGACCCCCCCCCCCCCCCCCACTCTTTGTTTCCTCACTGCTGATGTTCACACACTGCTGCGTCAGATACTCGATTCAGGCTGAGTCGACCGGTTCAGATACTCGCCACTGTTACTGGTCGTGAGTGGGAATCGAACTCAGGTCTCCGGGTTTGTAGCGCGGTGCGCTAACCAGTACAATACCGCTCCCCATTAGAGACAAAGACAAAGATCCCCCGTATAGCCTTAACAGACTATAGCGGCAAGTGCTGTTAGCGAGCACCTATGAAGGCCGGAACGGTACACGAGAGGGTGGGTGGCCAGCACCACGCCCGACCGCCTTTGTCTCTCCAGTGACGATGTTTACACACCGCACCAGGTACTCATTTGAGGCTGAGTCGATCTAAGTAAGGCCCAGGACCGGTTCAGACAATCGTCACTGGTGTTGGCCGTGAGCGGAAATCGAACCCGGGTCGCCGGGTTCACAGCGCAGTGTAGCGCTAACCGCTGCACCACCGCTCCCCACACATTAGAGACGCACACAGAGACCCACGCATACGCAGAGAGAAAGAGAGGCCAAGGCGCTTGCTGTGATGGCCGAATATCGTTTTGGGGATTGTTTCGAAGTGAGCAGTGGAGAGAACGCACAGGAGGCAAGAGACTGCCTCACCAACCGAGCGGCCATAGGCAGTAAATAGACAGAGACACGGGCGGCCCACGTGGACACCGCGGATCGTAAGTCGCGGGTCGTCCCCGACCTACGGCAAGTTGGCTCCGAACTCACCCTTGAAGTGTTTCAGCTGTGCCTCCGCCCCCTCCCCCACCACTTCCACCCCCCCCCCCCCGCGAAGGTGAACGCGAATGACGAGAGCGGGGTCCTGGAGGGGAACTGGTCCGAGCGTAACGACTACTCCGGGGGGACCGCCCCCGCTGCCTGGACGGGTAGCCCTGACATCCTGAGAGAGCATCACCGGTCGGGTCGACCGGTCAAGTACGGCCAATGCTGGGTGTTCGCCGCCGTCACTACCACGGGTGCGGGGAGGGGCGAAGTCGTCTTGCGGATTTGACTTGTGGATTGACAAATGCAGAGACGAAAAGAAAGCGCGTGGATGAATGGGCGTACGTTTGTATAGCAAATGAATGGACCACTGAAAATTTGTTTTTATCATACTCTTTGGTTCTTTCGGTTAAGTCACAGAGGTATAAAATAAACTACGTGACTTTACCGAAATAACCAAAGAGTTTGGATTCCTGCAGTCACGAAAGCTTTAAATCAACATTTGTAATCAATCACCTTACACATGACCTGTGTGTGTTTCTTACGCGTGATCTATATGCATTTTACGCACGATCTCTGCCCTGTATATCCCCCCCCCCCCCTCATAATCTCTGTATGTTTATGTATGATCTGTACGTGCGCATGTAATATCAAGCAATATCTCTGTCGGTTTTCCGGATGTACGTATTTCACGCATGTCCCGTGTGTGTCTTCTTCCGCGAAGTGTTGCGCGCCCTGGGAATCCCGTGTCGCACCGTCACCAACTTCTCCTCGGCGCACGACACGGACGGGAACCTCGTCACGGACATCTTCCTCGACGAGAAGATGCGGCCAGACCGGAGCCAGACCAAGGACTCCATCTGGTGAGGGGCAGCCCCCTGCCCCACGTGCTGGAGCTCCATGCACTCTCTGCACCGTGACCTCCTGCACTGTGACCTTCTGCACCACGACTCCCTGCACCGTGACTCCCTCTCCCATGCAGACCGGCTCCCTGCTGAACACACTCTATGACCCCATATATGGCCACACAAACATAGCGATACACCGTATGGCCTTTAACAGACCGCTGGGGCAAGTGCTATTAGCGAGCACCTATGAAGGCATACAAGGCACATGAGAGAGGATGGGTGGTCGGCACCACCCTCGACCACCTTTGTCTCCCTAGTTGCGATGTTTACACATCGCACCAGATACGCATTTAAGGCTGAGTCGACCTCGGGAGATTCAGGACTGGCTTAGTTAATCGTCACTGGTGTTGGTGGCCGTAAGGGAGAATCGAGCTCGGGTCGTCGAATTCGTCATCGTACAGTGCACTAAACCCCCTCGCTCACAGACAGGACTCCAACTCATCCGCCTCGCGCACCTGTGCCAGGAACTTCCACTCGTGGAGCGACGCGTGGATGAAGCGACCCGACCTCCCGTCGGGATACGATGGCTGGCAGGTGGTGGACGGCACCCCGCAGGAAGCGAGCGCAGGTAACGCTCACCTGAGCGTCGCGAGGCGTGCCTCGCAGGTGGTATCACGTGGGACGATGGGTGGGGTGAAGGGACGATGATTGATGATTTTCGTGCTCATGTTACTTTTAAACGCAACGTGCGCGTGCGTCTGCGCCATGGCTCCTTGCACGGATCCGCTCCTCTATAGGGACCTCCCCACTGCCACGCTCGAGCTGATCGCGGCGGTGTATTTGACCATACTTCACCACGCTGGTCGGAGCGGGGTTGGTTGCAGGCGTGGCGGCGCAGGATTCAGCGCAAGGGTTCGTGTTGCAGCACTGCCCCTTTGCTGACCACGTGGCCCTTGCCAGATTGGCTCAGCGAGTGCGCAATCGGCGCGCCGTGTGGCAGCGTCCCCGGTTTGCCACGTGCAGCTCTCGTAGACGATGACAACAAACACGCACCCTGCTCTACGGAGCCTGACAGCGGTCATGATGATGGCGGTGGTGGTTCGCGTGGTACTTCCTATCAACCTAAAAACTTTTCATTTTTTTATATTACCAGGTAAGGCCCACTGAGATATATAGCTATAATTCAGATGCGACCTAGCCATCACAAACTATATCTCAACAAAGTGGCCTATCATATGTTAATGTGTTACAGGCAAATATTTTAAACGCATGTTGATTATAAATGTGGAGGGCAAAACCTGAGGACCTGGAGAAAAATCTACGCGACCATGAAGATAGACACGCAAACTCCAAATATGCAGGCGTCAGGGTCAGGATCGAGCCCACGACCTCCTGTATACCAGGCAAGGTAATTAACATCTCGCCACCATGGCACCCCCCCCCCCACTCCTTGTCTCTATGTGCCCCCCTCCCCGCCCCACCACCCCTACACTCCCACCACCACCCAGGTGTTTTCCGCTGCGGCCCGGCTCCCGTGGTGGCCGTGAAGAAAGGAGACATCAACTTGAAATACGACACCGCCTTTGTGTTCGCGGAGGTCAGCAAAGCTGCTGGACACTGTGATCTCCCATCACCGCGTGATCGCACCTTTCAAGCAGTCCCAACCATGAACCGAAACCCAGCCCGCAACCTAACTCTAACCCTGAACCCAACTATAATACCAACCCTAGCCCTAATAAAAACCGAATCCCAATCTTGACCCCTAACTCTATACATTAATCGATACAATCCTTCCCTAACCATCTGAATCCCAAGCCTGACACAAACAGTCTGACAGCTCACCTGTTCACCTGACCGACTACCCACGTGGTCACCTGCTCACGTGCTCACCTGTTCGCCCAATCGCCTCACCTACTCAACTATTCAGCCGTTAGCCCATTCACCTGCTAAAACGCTCACCTGCTCACCTACTCATCGTGTAACCTGATCACCTGCTCACCTACTCATCGTGTAACCTGCTCACCTGCTCACCTACTTATATGCTCATCTGCATATCCAATCGTCTGCTCATACACTCACCCGCTCACCTGCGCACAGGTGAACAGCGACCGCGTGTTCTGGAAGAGGCGTGCGGGCGGGGAACGGGAGCGGATCTCCGTGGAGACCGACAGCATCGGCCAGAAGATCAGCACCAAGGCTCCGGGCAGCGACGCGCGCCTCGACATCACAGCCGAATACAAACCCCCTGAGGGTAACCGCGAGCTCGGGCAGCAGGGGGGCAGCGGCTATGGGGCCCGGGGTCAGACGGCGTAGTGACAGAGGCAATCGTAGTAACAATGTCAACTTATAGTAGTAGGTTTTTACCCTTTAAACTGGTACAAAAACTGACACCTTTATACAAGGCATCATGTTTGCAATAACCACAACACAAGCAGTCAAAATGCAAACAAAAGCAACACAACTCTGATAATGATAATGATATGCACTGTCCTTGAAGTTGATTGGTCCACACCCGAGACAGCTTTTCTTAGAGCCTAGTCTCCATTGGCGTTGGACCAGATGACGCCAAAAGGCGTACAACTCAAAAACAGCGGTCTGTCAATTAGTAACGCGCCACGCGCCTCCGCACTGCATTCGCTCGCTCTCGTAAAGAGAGAGGACGACTCAGAGGCACCAGCAGGAGGAACGACAGACGAGCGAGAAGGTAGCCAAATGATGAATTCGCGCTACCAACAATTTCTCAAGCTCTGCGGTCCTCTATACATTAGAATGTTATCGGGCAATTAATGAGTATTTACACGTTGGAGAAAGCCGGAGCGCCCGGACAAAATCCACGACGTGCGAGGGGGAACACTGTATCCCACGAAGACGAAACAGATGGAGCCCACGTGTTTGCTGTTGTGCCGCTTTCTCCTGGCGAGCTAGGATACGACACCACGGCGTCCACGGGAAGGGAGTTTCACAAGATCTGTGTGTGATCCACCAACCCTTCGTTGCCTCTACAGTGGCTGCAGTACACACCACGTGCACAGACGCCACCGGCCGGTAGGGTCAGTGGGCAGATGGTCAGGGGCCAATGAGCAAGGGGGAGGATAGAGAAGGGCAGCGGCGAGTGGGTTAGTGGCGCGGAATGTTCGAGGGATGAAAATGTTGACTGATTTTTATTGAATACAACTAGAACAATTTACAAGTATGCGTTGATCGATATGATGTTGATTATAATGTTTAACGATAATTATATTGAAATTAGGATATGCAGGAGATAGTGATGATAATGCTAATGTCTTTACGAATGGTGATGGTAGGGAACTATCAATCTGGTGATGGCTGGGGAAGTTGATTACGATGCTGCGACTATTGCTGTAGCTGCTGAAATAATAATGATGCTGCATCTGCTGCTAACGATGACGATGCCCCTCGTCCACCCACCTTCGTCCACCCCCGCAGGCTCCGAGGAGGAGCGCCGCGTGGTGGCGCACGCACTCAGCCTGCTGAAGCGCGCGGGTGCGGAGAGGGGACCCCGCGAGGTGGAGACAGGAGGGGCAGGGTCCCCCCAGGGGGACAACGTGAGCGGCGCAGGTGGTCCTGGCGGGGTCGAGAGGGGAAGAGACGCAGCTGATATCGGCGGGGCTCTGGATGAACGCTCCTTTTTAAACCCCGATGGACACTTCATTGCATCCCTTGGCGGGGACCCTATTGGGCCCCCGGTGGGCGGGGAGCCACGACCCCCCGAGGTGACGCTGGCGGTGCGGGTTCTGGAGGAGACCGCGCTGGGCCGGGAGTTAACGGCCGAGGTGCGCGTGGCGAGTGCGAGCGCGCGACCCCGCGTGCACGTGTGCGTGCGCGTGCGGGGCCACGGGGCCACGTACACGGGCGCCAACCTGGGCGGGTTCGAAGAGGAGGAGACTCTGCTGGAGCTGGGACCCCACGAGGGTGAGACGGAGGGAGGGAGAGAAGAAGGATGATTATACGAGTATTGTATTTGTGTGCATGCGTGTATATGAACGGCAGTCTAGCGATTAGCGCTCTGTGCTACGAAACCCGGGGACCCAAGTTCTATTCCCGATCAGGACCCACATCAGTGATGATTTTCTGAACCGGTCCTGTGCCTCGTCCCCTAGGTCGACGCAGCCTCAAATGAGTAGCTGGTGCGGTGTGTATACATCGCCACTGGAGGGACAAAGGCAGTCGGGCGTGGTGCTGGCTACCCACCACCTAGTGTACTGTCCCGGCCTTCATAGATGCTCGCTAACAGCACTTGCCCCAACAGTCTTATTTGAAGGCTCTACGGGGGGACCTTTGTCTTTGTTGTCTGGCACAGAGCGGCGCGTGCTGGTGCGCGTGCCCGCGAGCGAGTACCTGCACCTGGCCGTGGACCATTTCGCGCTCGTGCTGGTGGCGTGCGCGCGCGTGCTCGACACGGGCGTCGAGGTCGCGCGCGTGCACGTGGCCCGCGTGCGCTCCCCGCGCCTACGCGTGCACGTGAGTGGCACACTACAGCAACATTAACAACAACAACAATAACAACAACAGCAGCAACAACTATATTTCTCAAAATAGATTTTGGGAATCATAAATCCTCCTCCACCAGACACGGTGGTGCTATGGTACAATGGTAGATGGTGGTGTGTTTATAATGGCATGATAATGGTGTGATGTGAGATGATGCTGTGATGTTAGATGTATGTTGAACTTATTTCGCACCGTACGTAGACAAGGGCTAATCGGAGGTGTGTTTGCAATGGCATGATGGGATAATGACGGTGTGATTATGATCATGGTGTGATAATGGTGCGGTGGTAGATGATGGTGTAACAATGATGCTGTGATATCCCCCCACAGGTGCCCGAGGGGGCCCACGTGGGTCGCGATCTCATCTCCGAGCTCTGCTTCACGAACCCCGTGGCGCGCGTCCTGCACCGCGTGCGCGTGCGTGTCGAGGGAGCCGGCGTGCACGCGCCGGGCACCATCCTCGTCGGGTATGGCGCAATCGTCACAAGTTCACGATCATAAGAAGATCAAATATATCATAGAAGGTGTTTCGGGCAACGGCCCTTCTTCATAGCACACGTGTTATCGATTGAACCAAACACATGTGCTATGAAGAGGGATCATCGCCCGAAACGTCCGTTATTATATTATTTTCCTTTTAAGACCAGGATGTTATTACGTGCGTATGCAACATTGTAAACGCAATCTCACAGTACTGTCCATGTGTTTAGTGACGATTATACCTGATGCTCACGCTGCTGCTGCTGCTGATGATGACACGTGCCCGTATGTCTTTCTTGACGATAGTGTAGCGGTGAGCGTGATTCGTTATGCACCCGCGACCCAGTTCTGGGCCTCCCCTAGGTCGATTCAGCCTCAAATGATTATCTGGTGCGGTGTGTGCAAGCTTCAGCACTGGGGGTACTATAGGCGGTCAGACGTGCTGCTGCCCACAGCACCCGCTCATGTGCCTGTCCCGCCCTTAATAGGTGCTCGCAGTACTTGCCCCAACAGTTTGCTGTAGGCTATACAGGGGACATTTATCTTTGTGTGTCTGTCTCGGCGCAGGGACGTGGAGGGGCACGGCCGCGTGCGCATGCGCGTGCCCGTGGTTCCCAAGCGCCCCGGGGAGCTCACGCTGATCGCGAGCCTCGACTGCACGGAGCTTCCGCAGGTGCACGGGGGAGCCACCTTCCAGTGCGAGCCCTGAGACTTCAGCATCACCACCATCATCAACATCATGAGTCAACCACCATCATCAGCATCAAGAGTGGTACCACCATGATCGTGATCGAGTGAACTATCATGAACGTGTTCATCATCATCAAGGTCGCACTCATTACACACAAAGTGTTTGCCACAAATATATCACAAATTCCTTGCTGATCTCGTCAAGGAGCGTAAACCATCACGAGAACTCCACTCATCCTCGCAGTGGCTTTTGGATAGCCATCAAACAAAGACGGTCACTGCATCGCGCACTTTCAGATGCGCTTGTGTGGCCGTCTGGAGCACTCTTTCTTCCGATATCAGGAAGCCGCTGAAGCTATGCACTGTTAAATGTAGATTGAACACTCATTTATTTAGAAATGTGTTTTGTGTTTAGTTTGTTGTCCTTCCCCGCACCTCCGACTAGCGCGGTTGGCTACGCACGGTGCGAAAGAAGTTCAACGTACATGTCAATCACCACGATCGTGTTCATCGTCATAAGATGATCATTATCAGAATCATCAAATCGAATGGGGACCAGAAATCGTGACGGGGTGTGGGGGGTGGAAGAATAACCATTACAGAGCTGAGTCCCGTCAGCTCAACGTGACAGACTTCAGGAGCGATAGACGAGAACGCTACCGCGTGACGTCACTGGACTGCGGGTACTAATGAAGAAGGGGAATGACGTCGTTGATGTCACCTGTAGAAGTTGGACTCATTCAGAGACAGTATTCGTGATTAACAATCCCAGATCTTCGTGGCCAGTGACGTTTACGTAGCCACGCGCATCGCCATCGCTTCCTTCCTTCTTCCAATTCCCGCAGTTGTTGCAGACGACACTGCACCTTCGAGGTCTTTCGATGGTAACAGTCTGGCTCAAGGTCTTCCCAATTGAACTTATTTTATATAGATTTATATAGCGGCTTATTCCAAAGTGCTTTACAACAATTATAACATAAGATGATGGGCTATTAAAGGGGGTGGTGTAGTTATGGTGATAGGACAGGTGTGAGTGGTGAAGGAGGGGTAGCTATAGGGGTGAATATAGGGGTTGGGGTCGTGATAGTGCGAGTGATAGGGGTAGTAATATGGGTTGGAGTAATGTTAGGGGTAGTGATATGGGTTGGGGTAGTGATAGGAGTTGGGGTAGTGATAGGGGTAGTGATAGGGGTAGTGATAGGGGTGGTGATAGGGGTTGGAGTAATGATAGGGGTAGTGATAGGGGCAGTTATAGGGGTAGTGATAGGGGTTGGGGTAATGATAGGGGTAGTGATAGGGTTTGGGGTAATGATAGTGGTAGTGATAGGGGCTGGGGTAGTGATAGGGGGGTGGGGGCTGGAAGTAGCAGCAGGATGGACTCGGGCAGAGGTCGTCATCCAACATAACAAGAAGATTTATTTTTTATTCGGAAAACAACCCCCTCCCTTCTCAATATTTTAAGAGCTGCAATGCACGTCAATACGAGAGGGTGGGTCCTAAATAAATAAACAACGTTATAAAGCTGTCCATAAATAGGCACATGCGGCTCCAGAGCCGCAGGTTGCCAAGCCCTGGTGTCGGGAGAAGAGATGGGTTGTAGGGGAGGAGCAGAAGCAGGTCAGTGAGGATGATTGCTTCATGATCGCCCAACTTCTGGGTGCCACTCCAATGCCCGGCTCGGTAAATTGCCCTCATCTTCCACCTGTGTCCCGCCCGTCTCAACCTCCTCCTACTCCTGATCCTTCCCACAACATTTTGCTGCCACGTGCTATTCCATTCCTTCAAGTTGCTTACCCTATTCTCCTCCACTCTACGCACGTGTCCCATCCGCCACAGCATCAACGCCCCTTCACAGTTACCACTTGTAATAGAGATGACGGCACATTTTAAATCGCTAAGCATTAAAGCGACAGTAATTGAAGCTGTAAACAATTAATGTAATTATTTTCTCTGACGCTGGCCCCACCCATCACGGTAAGTCACGAACAACTCCAAGCAGCAGAAAAAACATTATGTTCCATGCAATTATGTTCCATGCAATTATAATCGATTATCTTCATGATAGGCGAGCGGTGGCAGAGCAGTTCGCGTGCTGCGCTACTAAACGTGCCGAGCTAAGCAGGCGGTCGCGGCGACAAAAAACCCCCGTGTAGCCTTTAACAGATTGTTGGTGCAAGTCCGGTTAGTGAGCACCTTTGAACGCCCACACAGTGCACGAGGGGTGGTGTGGCCAACAGCCACGCTCGGCCGCCTTTGTCTCCCCAGTGCTGGTGTTTCCACATCACACCGGGTACTCCTTTAAGGCTGAGACAACCTGAGCGCAGTGCCATTGCTGTTGCAGTAATTTACCTCCGTTCAGTTTGTCGCACCTTCTCCATGCGCTAATGCCCCCTCGCCGCTCAATTGCTGTGCACGAAGAGTCCGCACTAGAGAGGGGCGAGAGACCAAGTGCGGGCACCTTGGGAGATTTTTTTTTGTACCCAATCAGTGCGAGGGGCTGGGCTGATGTCAAATCCATTCAACTGAGGCCTTCTACTTTTCATTATAAAGGTTCGACTGAAATGAACCTGGCAGGATGCGCGCAACTTATTCGGAATGCGATGGATTTACTAAATATATCAACAGGAGTCTAACTTCGTTAGAAGACTCATGTGGGTTTTTGAACCCGTCAGTGCAGACTATTGCATGCTATCCCCTCTTAAATCCTTGGGGGTTTCCTCTGAGCACGTCAGAAATATGCGTTTGGAGTATTTAGCTGCAATACATTTGCACATCAACTTCGTTGGGTTATCATTTGTGGCCAGGTCGCGTCGCTGAAAGCTACATAGCTCAGTGGGCCTTGCCTGGTCTAACTTAGTTTAATCGGATGTGCAGACACATTCCTGAACCGGCAAAGCAGACCAGAGCAGAAAGAGTCTTGATGGTCGATGGAATATTACTGAACATATATTAGTTATAAAAGTATTAATTATTTTTCGTCCTTTGACACAAGACCTCATGTCATTCACATGAGTTTAGTGACATAGCGCTGACTGTTGGACAGCAGCAGCAACTGCAGGTGGGCCCTTAGCACACACGCCGCTGAACATATACGCGGGTGTGCCAGCACGGCGGAGGAACTGGGGCAAGGGTCATGGTAGACCTCGTGTGGAAGCTCCTGGAACCCTATAGAGGGTTCGAGAAGGGAGGCGCGGCTAGGGCGGAGCCAAGCCGCGCCGAGGGGAATAAAAGCAGCGGAGAGCTGGAGCTCCGGACTGCCGCTTCTGGGAGTGGACTCGTCTCGTCGTCGCTGTCGTCGTCACCGCCCTGGTCGCTGCCCCCTTCGCCCGATCATTGCGCGGCCGGACAGTAGTTGACTCTCCCTGTCCACGCTGTCGGTACAACGTGGACAGGCTCGTGTCTGGGACGGGGCGTGCGGCAGCGGAGTCGTGTGTGGGAGAGAGAGGGGGGCCCGAGTGGTGGCGTGAGGTCGGCAACAATAAAAGGGCAGAGCGGTGCCTCATGTGACCACCTCGTCTCCAGCTGACTGTGTGTGCGACGCACGCCACCTGCATACACAGACGACACTACATGAGTATACTTCACCACGTATGTTGAACTTCTTTTGCACCGTACGTAATCAACCGCGCTAATCAAAGACCGTTTAATGCATCACTCATCATTGTCACCATCACCGCCACCACTCACCAGCAGCAAAGATGGCAACATCACTATCATCAGCAGCAACGTACTTTTTTTAAGATTAAGCAGTGAAATATATCCGTATAAACACATTGATCGTGTCACTTAATTATTTATTTCCCCTGTAAAAAAATGTATGTACACAGTACTTGAAAAATTCAATACTTTTCTTTGAACCTCATGGCAGGACCCCGGGGTCCCATACGCCCCCAGCTCTCGCATAAACTGCGTTGTGACGTCATTTCATGTCTGTTGAAGGCCAACAATACGGCAACCTGTTCCTCTCGGTGAGCGCGACACAATGCGCTAATTAAAGTTTCAAAGTTTTGTTTCTTCTGCGCATTCGTCCTCGCTGCTGCACTTGGACGACATTACAACAGAATGATCTGCGCCAGGTGGGTCGCGGCGTTTATGTGCGGGGTGGGACAGAGTCGCAATATTCTTTTTTATTAATTATGATTTCTACTTCCGTTTATTCGGGACCCCGGGGTCCTGCCATAAGGTTCATGTGGCCGCATTAACAAGTCGCTTGCATTAAAATTGCACTTGTGAGCAGCACATCACGATGAGTCCCACACTGCTGGTGTGGCAGAGACCCCATGCTCGCGGAGACGGTAGGGCAGGGACAAGGGGCAGGGTATAGTGCTTGCCCCCCCAGATAGTAGTCTTCATGGCCACCAATGACGACCTGGCATGGACCACCCTATCGGTTGCTCACCCCCACGGAACTTCAAGATAGTTGCCACGTGCTCGTCGAGAACGGTGAAATCTCGTCTCACTGAGACGCCGCGTGGCGATTCAGCCACACCGGTGCGGGTCGACCGGGCGTGGTAACAAAAGTCTAACCGTGCCGCCACTCCTCGCCAACTCCCGGCCGCCACTTGGACCACACTCAGCGCATTTAACAACCTCCAAGTGGCACTTTCTAAAAAAACACTGGTGGCTGTGAATAACACTGCTGCAGCCAATCACAGTTGCGATCCCTCCTACGTGAATATTCGGAGGTGTTCAGTAAGGGTACGTTTGATATTGGGCGCACTTCCCTTTTGCAACACCATATTAACACGGGAACGGCTGCCCCCATTCGACAGAATCCATATGTATGGATCCCTGCAGTCACAAAAACTTCAAATCTAGATAGAATCCGAATAGGTTAAGCCCGAGAGAAAAGGGAAGCATGCAACTGGCGGTGGAGGAAATGCTGGCGGCAGATATTATTTCCCCCTCGACCAGCCCTTGGGGCGCTCCCGTGGTGTTGGTAAAAAAAGGTTGATGGCACGCTGCGGTTCTGCGTAGACTAAAGTGTTAGTCGCAGATGCGTACCCACTCCCCCGTATGGACGACTCGTTGGATGTGCTATCGGGGGCCCGATTTTTTTCCACCTTAGACCTTTTGTCGGGATTTTGGCAACTTCCCCTGGATGAGTCATCCAAACCAAAAACGGCATTTAGAACGCCTCAATGATTGTACCATTTCAAC